TCCAACAAAAAATTCACAAAAGAACAATCTAGTTCAACAAATAGGCTTCCTTTCAACAGTTATATAGATCAATATTAAAAACACATATTGAAAATAACAGGTAAGTTTGCCAGAACCCACAATTCCACTTAGCAGGATGTAATATAATTTGCATACTTAATGATATCTATTCTCAAAACAGATATAATATGTATATATCCTTATCAATAAACGGGCTTTTCAGAAAGCAATATTCACACATAATATACAAGAATAGGTTTTAAGAATGTAAAAAAGTAAATGCTTAAACAAATGCTATTGTAAGAATGGCATCTGCTTGGCTTAGAACTTGTTTTTCTAATACTTTGAATGACTTCATTTATGAATAACTGAAATACTCCCTACGTGTTACTGTAATATTTTTGGTGTTCTAATTTACAATTAGTCTTTTACCTAATCTGTAGTACTTAGCCTTTTATTTGTTCTAGTATCTCTTACTGATTTCAAATCAACAGGTTAGTGCAATTAAAATATATATAACTACGGCAAAAATATGATTTTTAAAAATGCCCTTTCCCAAAAATCTGTATCTTTTTCTCACTCGTGCCACTATTCATGACAATTTAGGTAATGGATTATAATCTTTAGCTAAGTAACTTGGTATCAAACACTAGCTGTAGCTAACTAATATGATATTAAGTAGCCGATGGAATAGATTCTACATTACATGCATACATGTAGTCATTATTTTCCGTAATGTTTCTGCAGAGCTTTCACACTGGTAAAACTAGTATGCTGCTTTGATAAACAGCTTCTTTCAAAATAGAAAAAACTATGTGAAGAGTGACACATTTAAGATACTGACTTTAAGTATAGGCTGGGCACGGTCACTTACTCCTGTAATCCCAGCACTTCGGAAAGCCTAGGTGGGTGGATCATGGGTTCAGGAGTTCAAGACCAGCCTGGCCAATATAGTAAAACCCTGTCTCTACTAAAAAAACACAAAAAACTGGGTGTGGTGCTGTGTGCCTGTGGTCCCAGCTACCTGGGAGGCTGAGGCAGGAGACTCACTTGAACCTGGGAGGTGGAGGTTGCAGTGAGCCAAGATTGCCCCACTGCACTCCAGCCTGGGCAACAGAGTGAGGCTCCATCCCCCAAAAGAAAAAAATTAATTCTACATCTCCCCCACATCTTGTTTTTAATTTTAAAGTAGCAGATATTGTTTATTTGCTTCATGTTACTCATTAAGCACATTACCTTTAGTCTCTGCTATAAATAGCAACAGAAGTACAAAACATTAGGCACACAAATATTTCAAAGTAGGCCTTAGGTCACCAAACACCATGTAACTTTCATTTCTGTCAAGACAACATAGGACAGTTTCAAACAAAGATATTATTCTTAGAGATGGAAAATAATATTCAACATAAAATGTTTCCATATACAGCCTATTTTACATACATACATGTTCTCATTTTCCTTTTTAAAAAATTAGTTTAAGTAGAATATTCATGTTACATTAATTATCCTAATCTCATTTTCAAACGCTTAATAATTTAAAATAATGAGGCCTGGTGAGGTGGCTCACTCGTGTAATCCCAGCAGTTTGGGAGGCCAAGGTGGGTGGATCACCAGGTCAGGAGATAGAGACCATCCTGGCCAGCATGGTGAAACCCCGTCTCTACTAAAACCACAAAAGAATTAGCTGGGCATGGTTGTGCACGCCTGTAGCCCCAGCTGCTTGGGAGGCTGAGGCGGCAGAATTTCTTGAACCCAGAAGGCAGAGATTGCAGCGAGCCGAGATTGAGACACTGCACTACAGCCTTGTAGAGAGACTCCCTCTCAAAAAAAAAAAAAAAAAAAAAATCAAAATAATGAAGCAAAAAAAAATGTTTCTGCTAAATATTTCCCTTTCTACCACTATTCTTTCATAAACCTAATACAGTTAATTCATTTGATAGGAAGTCTCAACAGGCTGTGGCAAATTTGGCAAATTCATAACTGAAATGAAGATAACAAAATCATCTAAAGGAGGAAAAGTTTCAAAGTACAAGTGTTTTTCAACAGGTAATAAAAAATGTCACAAAGAAGTCAATTAAATCTTTAGAAATAATATGATTTCACAAAATACTAAGTACATATTGTAAAAATGTGTGTGTGGGTAGATCACACTTTCCGCTATCTTTGTAAAATAGATGTAGATAAAATACTTCAAAGTAGTATTATGATGCAAGGAGATTTTTTAAAAGAGGCCCTCCACCTTTTAAGAGAGGCACAAGTTATAATTCACCAAAACTACAATTCAACACAACTTTCTTTAGTATGAAATCACAGTACTTGAGTTCAGTAAAGAATAATTCTACATGGTAAAACCACAACACTTGAAGTTCTAGAATACACAAAATTGTATAATACAACTTCATTTTTGTAAGTTATTTCCCCCAAATCATATGGTGTATCAGGCAAGACCACAGAAACTAAGCTGTTGATAATGAAACCCATTAGTTACAGACAGAGAAAAATCAATGTTATTTCCTCTCCATCATAGTAGACAATATCTGTATCAATAAATTTTCAAGAAAAAGCCTGAGTTATTTCTGACTTCAAATATTCATGTTATCATCAAAACCTATTTTCCGCTATTATCACTTTTTCCAAATCTGCAGCTGCCTTTTCATTCCTTCAGCTACAACCTTGTTCCTGGCCCTAGACTTTTCCCCCTAGACAACTATACCTCATTCTCATAAGATAGCTTCCCCTGATTGCCTTTAATTCCACTGTCAATGTTAATTATTATCTTCTCTCTGACATTTTACCTATGCCACCTACCTACTCCACCTGAGCTTTTCAAAGCCTTTACATTGCATTTTTATTCTGCTCAGGAGCCTCATATCAAATACATATTTATGTATAAGGTGGATGCTGGCTTTCAACTCCCCTTAAAATTGCTAGTTTCTTCTTGACTCTAATAATGTACTGAATTCTACCTTCGGGTAGTCATATTCGCCCCTAATCCATCTAAATATGGAATTTCTTTTGCAGTTAGCCCCAAATTCATAGGTAACATATTTAGAAAATTTTTGTACAATAATTACATACAATGGTTCTTCACTTGTTTGCATATCAATGTTATCCACATTAGACCATAAGGATACCAGATAGGGCTGCATCTTTCAAAGCAGTCTGTACAACACCTATCTGCTATGCCACTTCACAAAGATGATTCATTAAATGAAACTAATATTTAATGTGAAAGCTTAAGTAAAAAATGTTCATTTAAAAAATATTTCTACGGTTTAACTTTTAAACAGCTATGGCCTATATTTCTACAGACAGCTGACATATTTTGGTTTCTCACTACTCTATTAATTGTCAAAAAAAAAAAAAAAGGCTAGAACTTAAAGCGCAAGTTGATAAAGGATATACTCTTTCACATCCCGCCATCAGATTACTCGAAAATTGGCAATATCAGCTCCAGAAATTCTAAACTACAACTGAATCTTCACATAATCAAACAGTTTCAGGACCAAAAGAAGAGAACAGCGCATCTTCGGATTTGGGGGTTCCCTTTTCTGCAACTGGTTTAGACTAGTTTCTCAATCTCAGGGTCTTTTGATTAGGAAAATTCAATTAATAGCCATCGACATACCGAAAGAATACCAGGGAAAGGCAATCCTTTACTTAAAAAAGAGAAAAAGGGCCACTGGATAGCCCCTTTTCATAAAATTCAGCAGCTAAATTAACCTTTTCACTCAGTATCTACCGGCAGTCTCAGACATTTTTTTCTGCCTAATAATAAAAGCAAGTCTTATTCAATTTAGTCCCTTCTCGAGCACCGTCTCAACCTGTCAGAATTTGACAGTTAAAAAAAAATTAAAAAAAAGAAGGGAAACACTAGGATTCCCGTCCACATTGCTTCTTTTTCCGAAATCACATCGAGTCCTGGATTTCCTTCACTCCAAAGTAAGCCCTCGGATTCCAAATATAGTTCTTTAACCCCCGCCTCGCCACTCAATTACACATAAACCTTGCCAACAACAGAACCACAGCTGAAACCCCTACAAATCGGCTCGCTGTTCATGTTGGAAGTCATGCCCTGCAGCAACTGCCGATTGCCGAAGTGACGGATATTAGCCAAATTCAGCGCAACAGAATCAGACATGCAGAGCACACACTGCTTCCGCGAGGGAGGGAAACGCGACCCAGGAAAGGTGCGCTCCTCAGCAGCCTCGGGACGCTCCAACGGGTGGGGGTTCCCAGAAGGGAGGGGGAGAGAAGCCCGAGTAGGGGAATCCTTCCCTCTCAAGTAAAACGAGCTGGATCCCCGGCCGCAGCCTGCAGCCAGTCTTCGTTAAGAAAACGACGAGGCAGACAGAGGGCCCCTTTGCTCAGAAAGACAGAATGCAGACTCTTTCCGACGTCCGGACGCAAGCTGATCCCCAATCCCCCGAGGGAGGCGAAGGGTGCCCCAAGGGTGGCTGAGGGGATGCCCAGCCCGCGAGGGACAACCCGAGGAGGAGCAGTTTCATCGCATTAACACCTGAGTCGCGTCCGGGCAAGCACAGCTAGTGGTGTGGGGCCGCCCGGGTGGGGGGAAGGGGAGGAAGGAGGTGGAGATGGGATTCCCCCCTCTGCCAAAAGAGCATTAGCGGAGGAGGCGCCCCGGCCAGCCGAGAGCGGCGTGCTTCAGACTGCGGAGCCGGGATCCCGCCGCCTGCACCGAGAGTGCGGAGCCCCGCAGCGCCCTCCGCACCGGCCCCTCGGTCTCCGGGGGCCAGGGACTTCGTCTGAGAAGGCGCTGGGGCCTGACATCCCACGGAGTCGACCTAGGCTCCTGGGGGGCTGGGAGGGGGACCCGCGGGAACACCCACAATCTCAGCGGTTGTAAAATGCACCCCCGCGGTTCCCTTCTTCAGCTTTCCCTCCTCCCGAGGCCGCAGAGAAGGGCCACCACAGGCGAAAAGCCTACGGCAAGTCAGGGACAGCAGCCTCAGCGGTCCCGAACCACCTCCCCCGGTTACCTGTGAGGACTCCGACACGGATTTGATGGTCGTGGTTAGTGAGGATCATTCCCTCGGTCGCCATGTTTCCCAGCGCAGTCACCGCACTGACAGGAGCCGGGAGAAACCGGAGCCCGGAGCGCGCGGGCCGGGAGCGCGCTCGCCGAGGAGAGCGAGAGGAGAGTGGGGAAGGAGGGGGAGGCCGCAGAATGCTTGGTGGCCTGCGTAGGGGAGAGGCCGCGCCGGGAATGCGCGGGTCCGCGGGAGGGGGCGGAGTCAAGACACGCGACCCCCAGTCCAGCGAGAAGGAGGCAAGTTGGGAATGCGGGGCGCGGTGGCCTCACGGGGAGAGCGCGCGGAGGCGGCAGAACCAGGCAGGAGAGAGCCGGGCCGTTCTGCGGAGCGGGAGACCCAAGGCAGCTAGATGGCAGGACTGAGAGGAAAGGAGAGCACACGCTCTGGAGGTTGCGGGGGCGGACTAGGGGACAGGGGCGGAGCTACACCCAGAGGCGTGGAACTCGTGGAGAGTGAGGGGAGGAGTGAGAACTCGGGTGCTGAGTGCTGGGAGCGGGAAGGAGGCGGCCCAGCCTGAGTAGGACCACGGACCGCTCTTGGGCGCGCGAGTAGCGTCGGATTGGCTGAGTGAACGCGGAGCGGGTGCGCGCGAGGCACGGACGTAACCTCGGCCGGGCCCCAGACAAAAGCAATCCCCTGCCGAGTCTGGCGCCTCGTTGGTTATCTGAGCCTTGGGCTGGCTCTCGCCGGCGGGCAGGCCTTCTAAGAGCGGACCTCGGGGGAGCGAGGCTGGCCCAGCACTTCGAGTCTCCTCTTGCAGCCCTCGGGTGCGGCCGGCCGCCCCATTGAAGGCGCTGGGGACCTAGAGGTGGCTTAGAAAGCTGCGTGGGTGGCAGAACGGCGGCTACTATGAGAGCTCGCCGTAGGCGAAGAGGGAGGTATCTTGTCCCGCCAATTCTTAGCCGCTGGCTTCCTCAGTCGACTCTCCTTGAAGGAGGATTTCCACCTCACCTGTGCTTTAGGATTCCATCTCCAGTCATAGCCTACAAGAGGATCCTCACAAGCGAAGCTTAGGAGTCTGAGGCAGGGCAGCTGGAGTGGAGATACCTGGCTTTTCTTCCTCCTGCTGTCCCACGGTTTTGTGGCCTTAAGCTCCCTCGTCACGAGCGCTGCTTTTAGATGAAAAGCATCTATCTCCTTAGCAAACGAGAATACGTTCCACCTGAATCACAGTCCGTTGACGCGGTGATTTTCATTTCAGTATTCGTGGAATGTGAGATTACCATGAAAATAGATTTTGTTGCCATTTCTTTCCATGTGCCTTTCATAAAACATGTTTTTAATCACCCGTGGCTATTCTACGTTAGTTTCTTAGTGACTATTTGGACCTTTCAAATTCTGAATTTTAAAAAGTTACATGCGTGTGTGTGTGCACGTGTGTGCACACATGTATATATATTTTTTTCTTAGCTGTAGTAAACCTGGAGGCATAAAAGTGAAAAGCAAAGTGAAGTATTTAAAAAATGTGTAATATCAGTGTTTGTACAGAAATCTCAAAGTCACTTTGATGGTTGGTTATGAATTTTTTGGTTTTGTTTTTCTTGAGACGGAGTCTCACTCTGTCGCCAGGCTGGAGTACAGTGGCGCAATCTTGGCTCACTGCAGCCTCCACCTACCTGGTTCAAATGATTCTCCTGCCTCAGCCTCCGGAGTATCTGGGATTACAGGCAGACGCCACCACGCCAAGCTGATTTTTTTGTATTTTTAGTAGAGACAGGGGGTTCATCATTTTGGCCTGGTTGGCCTCGATCTCTTGACCTTGTGATCCGTCCGTCTCAGCCTCCCAAAATGCTGGGATTACAGGCGTGAGCCACCGCACTCGGCCAGTTATGAGTTTTTTATTGTTCGATTGGGAAATGAAATTACTCATCCCCTGAAGATTCATGTGCTTATGTATTTCATTTTAAATAATAGGACCTACTCAAAGTAGATGATGGATGGAATCGAAGTGAGTAAAATAAATTGGTGGGGATTTTTTTGCTTTTGTTTTTTTTAGTATGTGTGTTGCTAGTATTTTTGACAGTGATTAAAAATTTAAGCCAGGTCATGAACTCATTTCCCATTATTGTCACCTTAGATCCTGTTGGCCAACAGGTTGTTAACTAGTTTCAATGGGAGATAAAGATGAGAAAGTATTTCCAAGAGAATTATTTCCTTTTTTTCAAACTAAACATGGAGAGCAAATAGTTGGTTATATTGTTATCTTTCTAACCTATCTTTTCTTTGCAATACACTCTAAATGATTAGAAAATATCTTGAGCTTGGCCGGGCATGGTGGCTCGCACCTGTTATCACAGCGGTTTGGGAGGCCGAGGCAGGTAAATCACGAGGTCAGAAAATCAAGACCATTCTGGCCAACATGGTGAAACCCTGTCTCTACTAAAATACAAAAAAATTAGCCAGGCATGGTGATGCACGCCTGTAGTTCCAGCTACTCGGGAGGCTAAGGCACGAGAATTGCTTGAACCCAGGAGGCGGAGGTTAAAGTGAGCCAAGATTGCGCCACTGCACACTCCAACCTAGCGACAGACCGTGACTCCCAGACTCTGTCTCAAAAAAAAAAAAAAAAAAAAAGAAAGAAAAGAAAATATCTTGAGCTTTTAAAGAGATAAGGTCTAAATCTGTCCACTAACAGGTTGTGACCTTAGACAAATTTGGGCCTTTTTTATAGTAGTAGACTGAGTAAGCACTCCTTTAATTAGAATATTCTATAATTATTCATAGAGGGAAACTGGCACTTCATTTCACAAGTCAATAACGGAGAAGAAGAGACTAACTTTGCATTCACAAAAGGAGTGATGGTTAAATTCATGAAAACTTAAGTGGGAAGAGTGGATATGAATTAAACTTTCTAAAGCAGCAAGCAGTCCCCAACCTTTTTGGCACCAGGGACCTGTTTTGTGGAAGACAGTTTTTCCATGGATGGGGATGGGGAGGGGTGATGGTTTCAGGATGAAACTCTTCTAGAACACCTCAGATCATCAGATATTGATCCCACGCATCTGCAGTTCATGATAGGATTCAGGCTCCTGTGACAATCTAATATGGCCACTGATCTGACAGGACGCAGAGCTCAGGTGGTAGTGGTTGCTGGCTGCTGTGTGGCAGGGTTGCTAACAGGCTATAGACGGGTACCTGTCTTCGGCCCAGGGTTTGGGGATCCCTGTTCTAAAGTATATGGAGGTTTATTAATATTCATTATATTTTGCTAAGTATTAAAATTTCTAAAAAATAATAGAACCACATTATAATAGATGCTTGTCTTTCAACAGTTTTTCTTAAGTGTATTTATCGTTTTCAAATTCAGCAACCTTTTACAGACAAAACTTATACAGGAAAGACACAGTGACTTTCCTGTCTAGAGTGACCTTTTACTGCTGGTTATTGAATGAATATTACAATATGTACATACCATTACTCTTGTTACAGTGTGACATTTCTTCAGAATTCATCCTGGAATCAAATGATATGCCAAAGAAAAATTTCTGAAAGGTAGGAGAGAGTACCATTTTCCAAATATTGATAAAGTGTCTTAGGAAACATGGGACGTGGGGTGTGATGAGGTTTGGGGTGGGAGTTTGTTTGTAAATAATTAGAAGTGCCCAGGAATGTATTCTTTCCATTCTTAGGGTTTTCAGCATGAAAACTGCAAGAATTTCTATTAACCCTCTGAGACAACATAAAAAATAGGTAAGCATCTGGCTTTCATTATGATATGATGGAGTTAAAACTTTATATTTTAGTAGAAAGGAAGTTAGTTTTTTTGTTTTTTGTTTGTTTGAGACAGAATCTTGTTCTGTCAGCCACGCTGGGGTGCAGTAGCACAGTCTTGGCTCACTGCAACCTCAGTCTCCTGGGCTCAAGCAGTTCTCCTGCCTCAGCTTCTTGAGTAGCTGGGATTATAGGCATGTGCTACCATGCCCAGCTAATTTTTGTATTTTAGTAGAAGCAGTGTTTCACCATGTTGGCCAGGCTGGTCTCGAACTTCTGACCTCAGGTAATCCACCGGCCTCAGCCTCCCAAAGTGCTGGGATTAAAGGCTTGAGCCACCGCACCTAGCCTGAAGTTAGTTTTTTTTCCAGTGCTGGTATATTTACACTTAGCCCACCAGTTAACTCTTATTTTTTCTGTGGTTAATCACAATTTCAGTATAAGCAAGGCAAAATCTCATTGGGCTTTTCTGGGTCCAGACTCTCCTCTATGTTTTTTCCTACACGTACATACCTATGATAAAGTTTAATTTATATAGTAGTCACAGTAAGAGATTAATGGCAATAACTGATAATAAAATAGAACAATTATAACAATGTTCTGTAATAAAAGTTATGTTAATGTAACTTTATGTAATAAAAGTTATGTGGTGTCTCTCTGTCTCTCTTTCTCTCTCTCTCTCTCTCTCTCCCCCCCCAATCTCTATATCTTAAAATATCTTATTGTATTGTACTCACCTATTTTCAGACCAGAATTAGTTACACCAATCCTAGGGAAAAAAAAAAATAGTGCCTAATTCAGCCAGTTTAAAGTTCATTTTGACCATAATATAGCTTTCTTTGGGGAAAAAATACATTAAAAGCAACAAAGCTTTTAATGCTTTTAAAGTGTACCATTTTTTAAATGGTAAAATACACATACATAAAATTTACCATTTTAACCATCTAAAAGTGTACAATTCAGTAGCATGAAGTATACAGAAGGCCTCCCTTATCTGCAGTTTTGCTTTTCTTAGTTTCAGTTACTCTATCCCTGAAGTCCACAATTGGAAACACAGATGTCTGATGACATATTTGGTTGCAAGCAACTGATTCTAGTTGAAGCCAAAAGAAATTCATTGGCTTATGCAGCTAACAAGTCTGGACTTGCATAGCTTCAGGATTGGCTAGATTCAGGGTCTGAAACTATGTCATCAAGATGTCACTTTCAGCTATGCTTTCTTCTTTGTTGACTTCATTCTCACCTTGACTCTTCCTACATGGCAAAACAAAGATGGCATTGGCTTCTCTACGTTGTGTGTGTGTGTGTGTGTGTGTGTGTGTATAGTATGTGTATACACACACAAATATATATACATACATTTTTTTAAGAGAGAGATAGGGTCTCTCTGTGTTGCCCAAGCTGGTATCAAACTCCTTGCCTCAAGATATCCTCCTGCTTCAGCCTCCCGAGTAGCTGTGTTTACAGGTATGAGCCACAGCGTCTGGCTCTAGGGTATAATTTAGATCAGTACCCCATTATAGTAAACATTTTGCATATATAAAATTTTTTAATCTAGTAAATGTGAATATATGTAACCTAATGAATTAGTTTGTTTTCACACCTGCTTATAAAGACGTACTTAAGACTGGGCAATTTACAATAAAAGAGGTTTAATTGAGAACTCACAGTTCCACGTGGCTGGGGAAGCCTCACAATCATGGTGGAAGGCAAGGAGGAACAAGTCACATCTTATGTGGATGACAGCAGGCAAAGACAGAATGAGGAAGATGCAAAAGCTGAAATCCCTGATAAAACCATCAGACCTCATGAGACTTATTCACTACCATGAGAATAGTATGGATCAAACCACCCCATGATTCAACTAGCTCTTATTGGGTCCCACCCACAACACCTGGGAATTATGGGAATATGATTCAAGATGAGATTTGGGTGGGGATACAGAGCCAAACCATATTATCTCCATAAGCAAAAGCTCCATAAAGTCCTCAATTTTTAAGAATGTAAAAGGTCTGGAGAACCAAAACTGAGAATCATAGATTTATGTCATGTGCCAGTCCCCAAAACACTTATAAGGCAAGGGGAGTGGCATTTTCTGTTTGATTAGGCCTTACTCACGTACTTGTCCAAAGGATGGGGATCAGCTCCACCTTTACCAAATGGACTGAGATTGAGGGAGGATGAATTTGGGTATCTTATCTAAGGGTAAGGCCTCAACAGCTTAGCAGTTAGTTCAACTCTAATTACAAACCCCTTTCTCTCTTCATTATACTATAGAGGTTATTCTTTCCTGAGGGCTCCAGTTTAAACCTTTAATTCCACCTACACAGTCACATATTAATATTCAGAAGGTAGAGAAGTTCTTCCCAGGTGTGTTCTGACAATTTACAAATGTAGGAGGTCTCCATTTATGTGGTTGTATATCTGATAAAAGAAGAAAACCAAGAACAAAAAAAGTTTGATTTCTAAAACAAGCACTAATTTTTCTCCCCCCAAAAAAAAAAAAAAAAAAGGTAGAACACAGAATAGAAGAGGAGGGCATTATTAGATATGGGAAAGGAAAATGAAGTGCCCCAGAAACTATTTGATTTCTTAAAAGGGCTCTGTCTGCAATGCCTTCAGTTTATAGGGTTCAGTATATATGTCATGAAAAGATAGCTCCAAGCTTAAAAACAGACATGGATTGAGTTTAAGTGGACCTTTTAAAAAATCAAAAGCATTATGCTTTTCTAACATTGTTAACTGGTTTCCATGTAACTAAAATTTATCTTAAAGCTCAGCATCCCCAGAAAAAATATGTTTCCTTAAAAAGCATGTACAAAACAAAAATTATTTTATTAACCTAAGTAATCTCATTTTCCCCAGGTTGACTAATAATTGAAGGAAATATAGTTTCAGGAATGTTTGTATCATGTTTTACACTTAAAATGAAGCTTAGGTAACTTTCATGTTAGGAATTAGAAGTGAATTTGTGAAAGAAGTAGAGAAGATGGATTTTTTAGTTGTCCTGAAAATTCTCAATTTTACCATGTAATAATTACATTTCATTTATATCTGCGTGTGTATCTCCTGCTGTGAAATTGATTGGTTGGAAAGCAAGCCTCCCTTTCCAGCACAGAACCCTGTGCTCTTCTCGTTTCCTAATATTTGTTGACTAAATGCAAAACATATGAAGCAATAGGGACTTTGAGTTGGTAGCAATGCAGGCTCCTTCCAAAGTGCCAGAGGGACCAAAAGAGATTTTACTTGGTGAGCAATTCCTGCAACAGATTACAGAAGCCTCTACCAATAAAAGGAGATACCGCCTAAGGTCGCCATTGTTCACATAAACAACACTAAAACTAGATTTTCTGCCTGCATCTACAAGTGTAAGGCAGAATGTGCATTGTCAGTTCCTTCTTTGATTATTGCAATTCTAGACTAAAGATGAAATTATCAGGCTGTTGTTACCCTTATTTCATTTAAGAAAGAAGTGAGACAAACATTACTAATCACTTTCTGGCGAAGCAAAAAGGCAATGTTTTGGGGTAAAATGTTAGCAGATATCCTCTGCATAGCTAGAAAGTCAAGATAAAATAAATGAGATAAGCCACAAAAATAGGCTACCCAAAGTTATGATTTATAAATATATTGCTGATGAGACAGATTTTTCCTCAATTGACCCTGAAATTGAAAAGTATCGCCCATATATGGTCAAGGTTATCAGGGATTTTATTCTCAGATGAATATAATTGGAATATTATGAGCACAAATAAAACTATAATAATGATGTTTCAATCCCAAATACTTTTTGATTACTAATTCAGTTTCCTATAATTTGATTTGGAGATAGGAATACCCTAAATATAGACATATTCCCACCAAACTATAAGGTATAGCCCTCTCTGTAATTTAATATTGGGTTTATCAGCTAATATCTTGGGAGTTTCAGTAGCTTGAATAAGTCTCTGACCTTTTGAATAAATTGACCATATAAATTTGTCTGTATTCACAAAGCTGAGATCCATTTCCTAGATTCACCAAAATGCAGACACTCATGAGGAGCCATCCAATCTAACTGAAACTTTATACTGCCTGTCCAATATGAGTCTTAAAGACAAAGTAGGATAACAGGCTATCCCAGTTTTGTGTTTTGAAAAAATTGAAAACTTTGGAAGATTTGAGGGAAAGTTGTTAAGCCTGACTGATAATGACATAAAATGTAAATACTTTGGCAATGGCAAATAATCCACTTTTTAAGAAGTTACAACCTAAGCTACCAAGTAAACTACTTTATTCCATGTTGTAGTTAACAAAAAAAGGGGGGAGGGGAGCAGAAAGGTCATATAATAATCCAAACTCACTGTAGTGGTTTAAAAAAACAAAACCCCATACTTTAAAAACCTTCAAATGTTGCTCTTTTAATCCAGTTTTAAAATTGGGAACCTAAAGCACTGAGGTTAATTGACTATTCAAGGTAATCAATAGTACATTCAGATTTTATATTTCTATCTTTTGTTCTCATTGCTCTGTCTAATCCAATTGATGGAAAATCTCTCAGGACTGCCAAAATCTCTCAGGGACTAAATAAGTACAGTGGTGGCTTTCTTGAAACAATGTAAATTATATACTCTACTAACTCAGTTGGTAGAATATGAAAGTAATCATCTCAGCGTTTTAGAGCCCATTATTTTTGTGGTTAGGAGAGGAAAGATATGAGTTAGATTGGAATATGAACTGGCAGTATTAATACCTAGGCTCTGGTAACCAGCTCTGGCCCCAATTAACTGTAGGAATTTAGACACCTTTTCAATGTATCTGAACTCCAGTTTCCTTTTTTGTAAAGTGAAGGAAACTTTATACTTATTTAAAGTTTCTTCTAATGCCAAAATTCTGTGATTTATTGTAAACCTTCTCAAGGGCAAAAGTACATTTTTTAAAATTCATCTTTAAAATGCATCTTTAAATATTTAAATTAACCTTGAGAGAAAGAAGATTTTGAATTGGCTCCTTCACTTTGCTTATTACCAGAAAGTATACGGGTTCCTACGGATTATGAAGTGTTTTGTGACAAATCAACTCTTCTATACTGACATACAATAGGAAATTACTGACAACTTAGAGTAAAAGAAAATATCTGAAGATCTCAGGAACTACAATATAATCCACTGGCAATGTACACAAGGCAGGACATCAAGAGACCTGGGACTTGGAAATTAGCTTTCTGTGGCCTTATGCATATCAATTATGGAGTCTCTATAAAAAGCTAGACACTGTGTTTGCTGTCAAAATGAAAAGATAACAAGATAGAATCATGGGCCTCAAAGAGCTCACCATCTGGTGAGAAAGGTAGCTGAATAAACCAATAATTGCGATAGAGTTCACTTACTGCTATGACAGAAGTAAGAGAGCCTAGCAGTGAGTGTTAAACCTGATTACATATTAGAATTTCCTGAAGAGCTTTTTAAAAATGTGATACTTTTGCCCTATCACTCGGTTACCATGATTTAAATTATCTGGGGTGGACCCAGTAGAATGCTATTTTTCAAAGCTCTTAAGGGGATTCCAATACACAGCTATGATTGAGAATCAGTGGGATAGAAAGGCAGCAAATTTAGTCTTAAGACAAACAGGCAATGGACAGGGATACAGGAGAGAAGTATCTTTCCACTTTGTACATGAAGCTAATAGAACTCATGATACGTCGGGAGAACTGTAAATATTAATAGTTCTGTTCTCTGTGGAGTCCAATGTGGGATGTATGAGAGCAGGGGGACATAGTGAAAGATGAGACTGAGAAGCTACGCAGGAGAGAGATCATTTATGGTCTGTGAAGGAGCTTAGACTTCAGCAAGAAACCAGTAGGGGAGTGACATGATCTCATTTATCTTTTGTAAAAGATAGCTTCAGTGGTACTGTGGAAGATGAATTAGAGGGACTAGAAGCAGGGAAACCAATTACAAAGTTTTGGTAATCCAGGCAGGAAGGAGGGCCTGGAAAAAAAAAAAAAAGTGATACTAGGAAGGTGGATGAAATTCAAGGAATAGATAACAAGGGGGCAAAATCAACAGGGCAGTTTGATGTTTTTGGTGAGAGCATAAGAGAAGTCTATGGCATATAATTTTACTTATTTTGTACCTACTTTTGCTCATTTTCCAGTGGTAGATCTGTCCACAATTATGTACTTCACAGGTGGAGAGGCGCTCCTTTTTATGGGCTTAGTAAAAACATATTATATAATGTGGTCATTTCAAATCCCAAAACTATCAAAATAATCAAAGGCTGTTTAGAATCCCTAAATGACTGCATTCCATACATGTTTAAGGCCAAACATCCAACATTTCCACCCAGGTTGGTGGTGGGATAGAGAGAAAACAGCACTAAAACAAAGGTTTGAGAGATTTTAATTAACACAAATGGCTGCACCTAGTCTTTAAATCTGTCCAAAGCAAATGGAGTGAAAGCCTTCTAATTCTTCAGCGCTTCATCTGTCAGTGACCTCAGAAAAAAGAGCCTCCCTCCTGCATCATCAAGCTGACTTCCTGTAGCTCCTTGTTGTTCTGTGTAGACCTTTGATCCCAGAATTCTCTAAGACAGGAAAAAAAACAGAGGAAAAAGGACAGCTAAAATATTGAATACCCTAGCACCCACTTTGCAAATCACTAAAATATTAAATTAGAACATATGTTAAGAAATGCATTCCAAAAATCTATACCCACTATCTATTCAAGCCCTTAAAACGATTTTTTTTTGTTTCTTTGAAGAAAGTAGTTCTCACCACATGGTGTTCATTTCTGCCAGTAGTCAGTCTGTCCATAGTTGTAGTGCCCATAGTACCTAAGGGGAAACATAGGAAAATGAGAGCTTCTTTTAAGGGATGTGGAAACTAGTTTTGTATCACTGTGAGTATTAGCATTGATGTGAATTTTCTGTTATCTTTTTTTTTTTTTTTTTTTTAGAAAATTGTCAAACAATATTTCAGAAGTTGGAGTGACATACTGTTTTTCTATTTAGAGCTCAGGTCCCACAGGAGGAAAAATAATTTAAGAATTATATGCAATTAAAGAAGTGGAATAATAAGTTATGTGTACATATACATACCCTCAGATAACCCGGATAGATATATTTCACAAAAAATGGTCAATTGTAGATAGTGGAGAATAAAAGATAAAGGTGAAGATGGAGAAGAGAATGAGGAAGCAGAGAGAATGGCAGGCAGAGGGTGAGAAGGGGAAGAGAGGCAATGAAAAGGATAAAAAGGGAGAATTGTAGGGTGCTAAATAGGACCATAATGAGTCTGTTCAAATTAGAATTGCCAGACTAAAATATGGGACTCCCAGTTAAATTTGAATTTCAATATGAATACCAAATAATGTTTCGTATACCTTATGAAATATTTGGGATACACTTATACTAAAAATTATTTGATGTTTATCTGAAATTCAGATTTAAGAGAGTGTCCTTTTTTTATTTGCTAAATATGATAACCCTTTCCTAGACATCCTGCTTCACTCCTGAGTGTGTGTACCCACAAATTGTGGAATCTGTTGTTACCCATTAAAATAATATTAATAAGGATACAGTGTATTTTGTCAAGCTTCAAAATTTATATTTAGGAAAAAAAGAATTTATTCTCCCCCTGAATTTCTGTGAGGTCTTAAGGAAGTAAAAGAATGACTTAGTTTAGAAATTAACTTTATAACCTGCTAATACCATAAACCTAACTTTGACATTCAAAAGGTTCAGGTTGCCTCAAAGCTTAAAAAAGCCTGTACTTGAAAGCAATACAATACTACTTATCAAGTATCCAGATTTGAGCTAGCTGTGGTTTTCCGCCCCTGCCTTTCAGCATTTTAGCTTAACACTACTATTTTCCCTTCAGCAGCACCTGCTGAAGTGTAGTTCAGCCATCAGGAAGAATAGTACAAAAGTGGTGTAAAGGTTAAAGCTGGGAAGAATAACTTGCTTTCAGAACAGAAGGAGTTAGAGAGTAAATAAGGTCTCAAGAGTATACCTTTCCCACCTCACTGGACTTTCAACTGAATTTATAAATGTAGCATAATATTCACATCCAACCTTCAGGTTTTTCTCAAAAGAGCTCAAGGAAATGCTAAGAGTTGGTGGGGGTTGAGGTAGGAGAGAAAAGCAAGACTGTCAAAATCAAATGTCTTAACAAAGTTATATTATTGCTGAAGATAAACCTTTTTTTTTTTTTTTTTTTTTTTGAGACCGAGTTTCGCTCTTGTTACCCAGGCTGGAGTGCAATGGTGCGATCTTGGCTGGCTCACCGCAACCTCCGCCTCCTGGGTTCAGGCAATTCTCCTGCCTCAGCCTCCTGAGTAGCTGGGATTACAGGCACGTGCCACCATGCCCAGCTAAGTTTTTGTATTTGATAAACCTCTTCTTTAAACACCAGCAGATATGATGGGAAATTCAGTTGAATTTAGAGATTGCTTAGTGTCTGTGCTCTCTAAGATAGGTGACTGCCAAAGTCCACAAACTTGCTCTCTGGACTCTGTAGAAGTTAGGGAGGACCTACGATACACCCTGAGTCAAGTTATAATTTTACACTCGTGGGAAAGTAAATCCTTTCAAATGTTACTCGTCTCCAGAAAGATCAAAAGTAAAGACTTCACTCTAGGTGTAAACAAACTAAGTGATGCAGTATGCCAAAAAGATAACATAGACAATGGTAATGCTACATCCTGTGCATCAAGGGAATTCACAAGTAGGGATTTGTTGAAGTGTAACAAAATAATATTAACAAACAAAAGATGGTATTTTGCCAGCTACACAGATCATACCACTGCAACTCAGCCAACCAGCACAAAGGACAGTAGGAGGAGAAATTCTTGGCTGAGTACAGAGGTAAACCCTTCCTCTACTCGGAAATGGTTAGAACAGAAGAGCCTGTACCCTTGATTTACTGGAAGGTGTGTCCAAAATTATACCCCACCCTTTGTCTAAGACAGGTTTGCGAAATTCAATTCTTTTGAAACTAGAGAAAAAGGAACACTGTCCCTGTAACACTATTAAATATACAAACTTCAAATAAGCACCATCTTGTGCAATTGCCCAACCCATTTTTTATTTTAGAACCCCAATCGCCTGATTTATCTGTGGTAGAAGGGAACACTATTCTACAAGGATTGTGGAGGAAGTGGGCAGTGACGGTTTTTTGAAATGAAGAGAACTGTAGTCCAGGGAGTAGAATACTAGGTAAAAATTATGCAACAGAAACACTGAGTTTAACATGGTCCAATCAAGGCTGCCAGTAATACACTTTGGTGCCAAAAGAGCATGTCATAAAACATCCAGACATTTTTTTTCTTTTTTCATTTGATATATAAATGTGGCACTTTTTGCCCTAAGAATAATAGAAAGCCGATCTCTCCCACAGCATTTCACAGTTCCTGAATTACCACTCTGTGGACTTGAAGCTTGGATGTGGTTGGTGCCACCTACTGGGCTAGATGCAGAATTACCAATCTCTTGCTGAACAAATTAACCTTTCACTGGGAAGATTATGTGTTAAACAGATAATAAATTTGGATTCAAATTACAGCCTTTAGATCTAGAAGAGGCATGAAAAGTCACATACTTTTACACATTCATTTGGTAGCATAGTCTAGAGAATAAAGATTGAATATGGAGCCAGAAGCCTGGCTTCTCTGTGCTTGTTTCTTGTTCTGTAATACCTTTTATAGAGTCATTGTGAGGTTTACACAAGGTATTATGTTATCAACATGCTCTGTGTTAATGTTGTTTGTATGTTTAAAAACTGAAATTAAATGACTTTCCCAAGTCATATAACTGGTGAGCCTCAGAGGAAGGCCTAGAACTCATGTATCTGAGTCTAAATTCAATGCTTTTTCCCTTAAATTATAATTTTCCAAAATTTGATGGTGAGATAATTTTAGTTGGCAATTGGGATAAATTTGGGTGTTGGAATATGGAATTAAATAGTGTAAGTCACAGTGAGAAAATTATTTTCAATTATTTCAAATTTGATAGCACCAAGGAGAAAGTTGCAATTTGGTGCTTTCTTTAAAATTCTCTGTGTCTTTCTAATCTCACTTCCTAATACAGATAAAATAGATCTCCGACTTATACAATTTTCTAGAACATTAAAATCTTGTTTTTTTGTGCATATTATTGTTTACCTTCTATTATGGAAAACTATAGCAATTCTTCATTTAAAATAGTAATACAAATTTTATTCTCAAGGAACACATTTAAGAAACTAAAGAAGTCAACCTAACAGCAAATATTAGATAGATAATAGTCCAGATGGTACATAAAGTTGGAAAACACTGCAACATCTACCATTAAGAAATTATTACTGCTGATAATAACCCTCTTTACATAATTACTTTTAAAATCGTTCATTATGAGAATATTTGTTTACTTTTCAATAATACTAGAAGTGAAAAAATAGGCCACATAACCTAAATATTGGACTCCATTAGATTTCAAATCCACTTGGGCTCAAACAAACCTATAGAGTTTGAATACGTGTGTTAGAAAATGAAACTGACCCATAATTAGTGTTAAATGAATGCAGAAGCAGTATAACACACTGATCCATTGCCTGTGGCTACATTAATTTGTGGTAACAGAGCAGTATAGTACCCTATCATTTAATTCTCCAGAAGCATAAGAGGAAAGGAGAGAAAAGGTGTTGATCTGTGGCTGTTCCAATTTAAAGTTGATTCAATGTTTTACATGCAAGGGGAAAAAGTATCCCCTGAGGCAATCAAGTTGAATGGAACCCTTCACTATTTGCTAATTTAGGCCTAATTTGATTCTGGAGCTAAAAATCTTTTGGCTCTTTATCCTATAGATCCCTCAAGATGACCTTCAGCTAATTTTGGATGAAGTAAAACAGAGACCTGTCTCTCTTCCTTATAACCTTCTTCTCCTCTTTTATTTAATTTTTTTTTAATTTTTTTTTTTTTTTTAAGATAGGGTTTCACCATGATGGCCAGGCTGGTCTTGAACTCCTGACCTCAGGTGATCCACCCACCTCAGCCTCCCAAAGTGCTAGGATTACAGGCGCGAGCCACCGCGCCTGGCTATCCTCTTTTAAATTTGTATTTTAATGATTTAATACTGCTTGTGGTTGCATTCCAGGTTTCTTTCCAGTTTTGTCCTATTCTTATTAGAACATAAGTTGATAGAAAAATATGCATGTAATACTGCCTGAAAGATAGTCAATAGTCTTCTAGTTTTCTAAAATTTACCTATGGATCAAACCAGACCAGTACAGTTTTATGTACCTGAATCATCTTGAGTCAATTCATCACTTGAAAAAAAATTAGATTAATATGTTTTTATTAGATTATGCCAAAGAACAGAGGAGAAACAGCCTAGGAAATTTAGATTCTGAATTTATTTTGAAATATTGTTGAAGACACTGGCTACTATCATCACACAAACAATGTCCTGTCCCCATCATAGGGACCTGGACGAAAAATTTCTCTCAGATTTCAATACCAGGAAAAACTTTATTTCTTCATGAATTTCATAAGTCAATGTTTCTTTTTACTGGAAAATTCGGAGTCAAATTTGTAGCTTACCTCTGCCAGCTGTGCAGTACTCCCATTATGCATTCTTATGTATTTACCTGGCTTCAGCTTATTTTCCCTTTTCTTTGATTTACTTATATATTTATTTAAGCCTATGTGTTGAGTGTGATTTTTATAAGCTGTTCAAACCCTTTATGAAATAAGACTAAGAAATTAGAAACATACATACTGACGCTGACAGAACATTGTCATTCCTTGGCCATGATTTCCCATTGCCTGTCCCTTTATAAAAATGGAGTTCATATTCATAGATACTTGAAAATTTAAGAACCATTTTCCCTGTCCTCCGAGCCATCTCTGTATTCTATTTTTTAATGAACTATATCATTTTCTCTAATATTGCCATAAATTCTGTGGAGGAAGTCGCTAAAACTCTCAGAGGGACAACTGGATTGATGAAATTCACAACCATTGTCAGATGTCTCCTTGGCCTTCTGCTTTGAAGTAGCAGAGTCTATTCCAGCAAGATTAATAAAATTAAATAATTCTAATTCCTAGAAAAGGGGATGGGGTAGAAAGGAAACATATTTTATTGTGCTAATTATATGTCAGCTACAGATGCTAAGTATATAATATGTTACTTTATCTTTACAAAGGAAAACTATTCTCCCAGAGAGAATCTTTGCCTTAGTACAGGAGCTTCTGAGTCATAGTAATAATGATAATGAAAAAATGTATTACTGTACTTTTATTTATTATAGTCATTGTATTACTTTACAAGTAAAAGGATCTCCAATGAAAAACAAAACAAAACCAAACCTCAAACTGTGTACCTGGGATATTCTACCTACCTTGGGACCCAGGGAGATTTAAAAATGCTTGCATTGGCTCAAAATTCTGCTGCAAATACAGTGATAATTTCAGGTCATTGGCCTTCTGGTACTTCTTCAAGGCTTCAATTCTCAGCTCAATCACTTTTCCACGAAAATCATTCTGAAAGGGAACATTTTCAAAAACTACACATTTAGTATTGGCTTTTCTGAATCCTCTTTATTCAGAAGTTAAAAAGTAATTCCATCATGCTCAGCCTTTAAAAGTTGAGTAGAAAGTGTTTGTGCTTCCCTCCCCCCACCATTTAGAATAGAATAAAATCAAGAGCATAGGAAGAAATACTGTTTATTCCAAGTTGCCTAGGGTGAAGCCAGAGATAGGTCCCTTCAGCTATCTCTCTACATTTATTTTAGCAGGACTATTGGTAATCTAGGTTGTGGGGACTGGGCTTCACAATATGCAGCTAAAAGCCTTTGCATTATATGAATAAAATTACATCCTATATCGAGCCTTAGAAGACCTGAGTACCTGAAGGATGTTGTTTTGTTCCTGATACTTGACCCATTCCATTTTCCTCTGTTGCTTTTCCTGGTGGAAGAAAGAGCCTCTGGTTGACAAAGTAAATTAAGATCAGAAATCAGTTATCTCAATATACTGCAAAAGCCTTATAGCAAAATTAGGGTGGCACAGATTTATAATTAAATTGGTTTTAACTGCACAATTCTCTTAATTGGCCTCACCTGTGCAAACCACCCTCTAAAAGCTAAATGAATAGGGTTATTTTATGTTGGTGAGTTGGTTATGGGAAGATGACATACAAGCATAATACCACTGAATACATTTTCAAAGACAAATTAACAGGAGTTCTGACATCATGTAGCTGTTGCAGAGTTATCATTGTTGGTATAGCTTTTCTGACTTTTTCCTAATATGATTTCCCAGAAACTTGTGATATTACTCTGACTCAAATATAGTAACACAAGGGAGCCAAATCTATAAAAATTTGCATTGGTTCAAGAACACACCAAAGCTTAGGCAAATTAGTGCAACATTAAAGATTTCTAATTTATTAGCTCTAAAAGCCACTACCATTCAGAATGGCTGTACTGCTTTCCTTATCTCCTTCACTTTCTCTGCAAGTGATTTCTCTAGTTCACTCTTGGTCTTCCTAAGTGACAAGGGGGATTTGGGAGCCCGGGATGAAAAAAGAGAGCTAAAGGAATAGGAGGTCCCAGGAAAGAAATGCAGTGTCTCAGTAGGCCATAAATCTAATACTCTGAAAACCCAGATCCTACCTATCTGTCTACCCAAATTAGCCCTGATTGTCAACAGACTGTTTCCAGCTGTGTGACATCAACAGTCTTGAAATTCTAAGTACCTGCATTCCACTTGCATTTCCATCCTGCAAGTCTGCCTTGTTTTTTATCTCTGGTGCTCTTTGTTGATCACTGAGTTCTTCTGCTTCAAATGTCTGTGGAAAGACATTTTTGCAAAGCTTTAAATTAATGGAAATTAAAGAAAGAAGTGGAAAACCAATATGGGTCAAGGCTTTGGTTTCTGCCAGTCAGCAGGTTCTCAGGACCTGACATGAAACATGTACTACCAAAGGGAGTTCAGAATGTTGTGAGCCCTTCCTTTCATTCGGTTACTTGAGTGTACCTTACAGAAATGAAAATGATTAGCTGGACCCTTAGCCAGTCACTACTCTAAGCTACTTACTGTATTATTCTACTTACTTTCCTTACTGTGCTATATTACAGACATTCTCATTTAATCCTCACAGCTCTTTGAGGACTATTTTTATTTCCATAGATGAGAAAATTGAGACTTGGAGAGGTTATTTGTTTAGGGTCACACAGCTAGGAAAGTACAGAGTTGGAATTTGAACTAGATCTTTCTGATTCTGAAGCCTGTGTTTTTGACCATTAGGCATGCTACTCTTTTCCATTTCTCCTCACTAAAATATGAGTAGGGAAAGTTGATCACAAGTTAAGCGTATGGATGTCCTTTATTTTGAAAAAGTCTTTTGAGAGCTCTGTAGAAGCTGGATTTAGATAGAGGAATTGTTCTGGCACATTTCCTATTACAAGGACTCAAGAACCCAGGAACTAAAACTTCTGACAATTCATAGAACTAATTTGTAACTGCCAATGAGAACCTGGAGCAGATCTCAATACAAGATGCAGGGCTTGAAGGTATTCTGATTATTTGTGGAAAGTTGAGATGAGAAAAAAAAAAGCAGACAGAGATCACACTGTGTAACTGTTTATGTCACAGGATACAATCTACTCTTCTAGTTGCATAGTCTGTGAAGAAGCACTTGGGTTCCAAGGGATTAGTCTTGGACAAGGGACAAAGGAATTCCCTGTCCTCTTCCCCTGACTCCTGGCTCTGGATTCCCAGCAAAAGGCCCTGATATTGTTATCTTAAACAATGCAGTGATTGTTGTAAAATTATAGGTTAATTAGAATTAGGTATTCATTTGTTTCTTCAACTTACATTTATTGATCTCTACTATGTTCCAAGAATTGTTCTAGGAGCTACAAATTTGGACAAAGCAATCAAGATACTGAAGGAGCTTAGGAAGATACTGAAGGAGGCAAGGAAACAAGAAACAAGTGAAAAAGTAATAATTATACAATAACAATTTTATATTATAAACAGTGCTATTGAACACATGAACATAGTTATATAATAGAAAGGAGGAAGAGGATGCCCTGCTTTAGATGGAGCAAACAAGGATGGTCTCTCTAAGGAGATGACATTTAAGCTGAGACCTGAAGGATGAGAATGAACCAACCATGATAAAACAGCATTACAGGTAGTGGAGAAGGCAAGAGCAAAGTGCTTGAGATAGGAAAAGGCTTGGTGTGTCTGAGAAACCACAAGAGGCCAGTGGCATGATTGCATAGAAAGCAAGGGAAGGACATGTATGAGAGGAAACTGCAGAGTGGGCAAAAGCTAGATTATGCCTCAATGAGTGGCTGTAAAGGTTTTTCATAAGAAGAGTGACATGCTTTGATTGTTTTAAAAAGATCATTTTGGCTGCTGTGTAGAGAATGGATTGGAATAAGGCATGGGTGGAAACAAGGACACGAAAAAACGAGGATGGGGGCTAGAGAAAAGGGAGGTTTTTTGCACTATGATCTGTAGGACAATACTTTCAATAGATCCTTAGAGGCACACCTTGTTCCATAGCATCTCCATTTCCTTCTGAAGCATCTTGTTTTTCCTTTCCTGTTGGAGGGGGAAGAACCAAACAAACAAAAGAATATATTTGTCCAGCCATTGAAGTGAGTTTGGAAGAAGTTACTAAGTAATAGTAGGAAAAGGATCCAGGAACAAAGTAAACCACAGAGGAAGGCAATGAATGGGCCTAGCCCCAAATCCAGGAGCATAAGAGATGTTTGATGATGATGATGATGTTTAAAATAAGCCAAGTTATTTTAAGTAATAACTTTAATTATAATAATTGTGAGACAGTATCTATAGAAATGAGTTCCCAACACTTAAGATATTCTTATCATATGGCCATTTCTTGGGAGCTTAGACCACTAATTTTTAATTTTTAAGATCCTTTATATTGCTGATTAAAATAAAATAAGAATTCCACAGAGCAAACTATTTATTTTATTTATTTTGATAAGTATTTTCTATTCTTTATAGTAGATATTTTACTATTCTTTCTGAAACGTTAAGGGTTAATATGGTTATAGTCATTTACTCCCTAGATAAAAAGCTTTTAAAAAGTCAAAGAATATAATTTTTGCTAGCTAGTCCTATTCTTCCCAACATTCCATCTGACTCCCTTTGGGTCACCCTGGACTTCGTAGATCAAGTTGATTGAGTGTTGGAGCATCACATGCTAGAAATGAGTATCCTGTCTTTCCCTCCACATCTGACACTGCAGTGGATTTGAGCCCTATTCAGGAGGCTGTTCCTGGAGTACCTCCAGCTTCTTACCAGGTTCTGTTTCATCTCCTCTGCCTCCTTAAGGAGCTCCATGACTGAGGATTCCTCACCCTTCTTCCCTGCCATAATTTGCCTCATGATCTCAAGACTAGAAGAAAAAGAGGAATCATAAAACATATATACCTCCTTAAGGGTAATACTGATATTCTGCAACCAGTCAGAAAGTACTCTACCATGAAAGTTAGTTGGGGACTGAAATCTCAGGAGTTATGGAAGCCCTTCTGGTCATAGAAGATCTCTATAATAGGATGTTTACATTTCTAACTGACATTTGCCTATCTATGTGTTCTAGAATGAATTCTGTGCTCTTTAATGCTTAGGTCTCCAACAGTCAGGGAAAGTCCTTTCCACCCCCTCAGAAGAATGCTGCCATGTGTGACTTGGAAGAAGAAGGAGTAGTTCTGCCTCCTTTATAAGAAGAGGTTGAAGAACCTGCTATCTTCTAGGATAAATCCCAGAGTTATTTCCTAACCCATCTCTCTCCACTTTCTCCCACCTATTTGCTTCTTCATGTAAGGACATTTGAGTCTATTGAGGAAGTCACTGATATCCTTTCATAGCCCCAGAGAATGCATGCCATTAAGAAGTTCTAACAAAATCTGAATCAAAATCAAGTCTTTGTGAGAGAGGATATTTCTTAAAGGCATAAATTATTTTATGTTTGTGTTCTTGTGCTTTTTTCTCACCAGTTCTAAGCAGAGAACACAATTCTAAGCCTTTGTGCTTTCTTGGCCCGAGAGAAGTCTACGTTGCTGAGTTGTAAGCAGTTGGTGCTTGACCATGACTTTCTGCCTGGGTTTTGTTCTTCAAAAATATGAGTCCTTTGAGATGCTTATGATAAGGGTATAGAATAAAGGTAGACTCACTGAGGTGAGATGTTCTGAGACTAGAAAGGAAACAGTTTGTGGGTTCCAGGTACAGTGAGTGCTCTGGTAAGGAGTTAAGACTTCAGGCTACCTGGTATATTTAGAGATGCCCCTAATTCAGAGGGCTCCTAGGCTTAGAAAATACTGCCATTCCACTGCTTGACATAGAAAGAGCAGAGTCATTTATTCTAAAATGATCCACAAACATGCACAAGAAAGCATCTGTGGGACCATGGTAAACTAATGCTATTAAAGATGTTTCACTATTTCTTGGGTGGACAGCCTGGCAAGGAAGAGTTATAACTGTAGCCCATGAAATGAGGGGTGAGTCATATTTAATTTACTAAAAGAAAATAAAGGATTTGTTGTCATCCTGACTTGGTAGCTACAGATTGTTGGCCTTCTACAGCCAAATGTCAAACCTTTTATTAATTAACAAAAAAAAATTATAAATAATTATTGACAATCCTAGGGTGATTAAGTTCTCCAGCATTTTTACTTCTAGGAACCCAGAGTAAGAGCTTGTACCTCCTTTGTTTTTCCTCCAAGTTAGACATTAACTTTTGGAATAAGAGGTTGTTTTTATCTTCTAGAGGTTTGAGCATCTCTAGCAGTTCCTGTTTCCTTAGCTTCAAGTCCTCATTCAGTTCCTTCAAATAATTGTCATCTGTTTTAGAACTTCTGTGGGAAGAGACATAATAATATCTGCCTTTAGCCTGAGTTAAGAGATAGAGAGACCCTCTTTTCCCTCTTAGATAGTTACCATTTAGCATCTTCCATCAAAGACTCACCTTATTTTTGAGGGCAGGTAAGATCCTGAAGAGTTTGCACCACTTGTCATCTTGAAGGGTAACTTCTAAGAATAAAGAGGCCTTCCTGAAAATATGTGCCTTTTTTCCCCTCCAGTTAAGTCATCATTTTTGTGCTGTTGTTCTTGAAACCCCTGCTGCAGTGGACTGATCTTAGCTACAATGAGGTCACAATGGCCCTACTACCACATAATCAACAGGTCTTTTAAGTAATTTCAACATTAATGGCAGTTTGTTGACTGGAAATACTAACTACATCTGATCAGTTCTTGCCTTACATCTAGCCAAATGACAAAGTTTTATTCTAAAGTCTTTGAATGAATAGGATAGAATCACATCATAACTACATTATGAAATTCCTTTTATGTTAGAAAATGTTGGACTGTCAAAAATGAGATCAACACCATCTTTCATGGAAACAAACCTCTGTGAAATGCCACTATCTGTAGAGCACGGTGACTGATTCTGCAAGTGAAGAACAGATGAAGACACAGCATCTACCTTTTGGGGGCCTTAGGAGGAAGAGAGGCTACTTCTAAGAGACTTTTTTTTTTTAAAAAAAAGAGGTCAAACTGGCTAATACCAGGATATGAATATAATAGAATAATATATGAGCCACTGTCATTATTTTTCAGTCTTTAAAACTTGATATTATCATAATGGCAAGGTAAAAGAATATTGGACATGTAGCAAGAGGATATAATTTGTCAAAGATCATATCATCAGTATGTCCTTCCATAACCATACTCTTTCCTGAAAGATTGTATAATAATTCTAGCCTCCCTTCAGGATTTTCTGGTTCTGCTTCTATTTTCTTCTTTATTAGAATCACATTTCTTTTGGACCTTAGGATCTCCTATCTTCATCTATGTCACTTATTGGAAGATAACCCAGTGATACATTTGTTTTTTCATGCCCTTTAAATACAGTTTTGGAGCAGTATTTTTAGTAAAGATCTCAAAATTAGTTAAGTCGTGTAAATAAATGTCAAGTATTAACTGAACATTTTCTAGGGGTATTCCCCAAAGTAACTTAAACCCTTTATCTTGTGGGAAACATTAAAGGCGGAGTATTATAATGGAAATAACACAAGATTTAGTTTGTCAGACTTTGGTTTGTATCTCAGCTTCAATGTGTGTAGTGAGCTGCTTGTGAGCAAGTTACTAAATTTTCTGAGTCTCAGTTTCTGCTTTTGTAGAAGTGAGAAGGGTAATATTGACCTGATAAGTTCGTTGTGAGCCTGAAATGTAATATTATGTAAAGAGCTTTGTTCATGTTAGGTGTTCCCGTTTTAATAAGTTCGTGTTTATTAGGTGTGGGTTTTAGGATTGCTTAACGCCTCAATTAAGTGGTCAGATACAAAAGGCTGATTTATATGAGGCTAATGAAACTTAAACTTTAGAGACCTTCGTTTTCACAGACCTGTTCCAAAGGCCCTGAACCTCATTTTGTATTCATAATTTTGTATTCTTTTTGGAAAGAGATCTCTCCAAATTATATATGTTTTAGGGGCCCACAAAACAAAGATCTTCTTCTAGTTAGATAGGATACATAGCACTCCTAAGTATCATCTACATCAAAACTTCTTTAGAAGTCTCTATTTTGAGGCAGAGTAATGCTCTGTTGCCCAGGCTGGAGTGCAATGGTCAGATCTCGGCTCACTGCAACCTCCACCACCCAAGTTCAAGTGATTCTTGTGTCTCAGCCTCCTGAATCGCTGGGATTACAGGTATGCACCATGACGCCCAGCTAAATTTTGTATTTTTAATAGAAATGGGGTTTCACCATGTTAGCCAGGCTGGTCTTGAACTCCCGGCCTCAAATAATCCACCTGCCTTGGCCTCCCAAAATGCTGGGATTATAGGCAAGAGCCACCCTGCCTGGCCTACGAATACTTTTTCTGCAACATAATAGGTCATTTGTAAGTTTTATGTGATACCTTGTGTAATATGATGTTAAATTAGGATAGCCATATCAAATAATACGTAATTCACATTGTTTGCCCTAGGAATTTCCATGAAAAGTTTGGATAGAATGAGGGTGAGAAAACTCCTCACAGTTAAAAAAAAAAAAAAAAAAAGGAACTGGTTGGATGAATTATTAGTGGCATCTTTGACTGGATATGTGACAGGTGGTAGCAAATAGTAGAGGAAAAAATGGCATTGATCGCTAAAGTATTGCCTCTCTAAATTTCATATTGTGACATTTGGTTGGCAGAACTATGTGTCTGATAGAATTTTAAAACATTTAAGGGGCAGGTGACATCCAAACCTACTTTCATTTCTGTTTTTGCTTATGAATGATTCAAAGAAGAAGAACACTTGATATATATTTTTTATTTTATTTTATTTTTTTTTGAGTTGGGGTTTTGTTCTTGTTGCCCAGGCTGGAGTGCAATGGTGCAATCTCGGCTCATTGCAACCTCTGCCTCCCAGGTTCAAGTGACCTCGGGTGATCCGCCCACCTTGGCCTCCAAAGTGCTTGGATTACAGGGGTGAGCCACCATGCCCAGCCTCAAGTGATTCTCTTCCCTCAGCCTCCCAAGCAGCTGGGACTACGGCTGTGTGCTACCACGCCTGGCTAATTTTTTGTATTTTTGGTAGAGATGGGGTTACACCTTGTTAGCCAGGATTGTCTCAATCTCCTGATTTCATGATCCGCCTGCTTTGGCCTCCCAAAGTGCTGGGACTACAGGCATGAGCTACCACGCTTGGCCAACACTTGCTATTTTGATATGCTCTTTTCCGTAGCCAATCAGCACCTTTTATTTCCTGACATTCCAATGCTCATTTATTAACTTGCAATATTAATTCCAAAAAAAAATTTGCCTTGTAATAATGTAATAGAGTTTGTAGTAAAGAGCTTATAAACCAATGAACAGTATTAAGAGGGCATAACTGTCCCCTGGAACGGGGGAAGAGCAGATTAAGGTGTAGATGACCATTAGAAGTGGAGGGAAGGAAAACTGAACACAGATTTTTCCTGATGTAGAAGGTTAGGTCATCTGTTGATTGAGGAGGTGTGGCAGGAAACCTCAGAAGAGTGATGACACAAGATTTGGAATAGCACCTGAGCACTGGAAAAGGAAGTCAACCAGCCAAGAGTAAAAGGATTGCCAAGTAGTGCAAAGGGTCAAAGTGAATTCGGAAATTGCAGATTTGGCATGGCATGAATCAGCAGTTACACAGTTTTCTCCAGCAGTACTTGGCAAACTAGAAGCAATAGTAGAGAGAACCAGATGGTTGTTTGACTCTGAGCTAGGACTTGGCAGAATAGATAAGCAGAAGTTCAAGGGAGCACTGAGAGTGCTGGTAAGAGTATCCATCAAAAGACTGATTAAAGTGTTCAAGCTTAGTGGTAAAGAAAAGGAAGGGAGTGGTTAAGAGAGGGGAAACCAGACTGGGGTCTGATGTTTTAGAGTGTGGGGGTGGAAGAACAAACGTTATGGTAAAGTAACATAGTTCTTATGAAATAACTTGTGGAAACTCATCACTGTTTAGATAAATTATAGTAACAATTCATAATTTTTTTCTGCAGTAAACTTTCTATCTGTTGCTTCCAGTCACTGCATAATATTCACTGAAATTCATGTGGTCTCTTAAAATAGGTCTTATAATAAGCTAGTCACAATGACCTCATCCAACATTATAGCATTTGACTTTTTAGTATCTGTTGAGAAAACATGTGATTGCTCTATAATTAGAGAACTTGGAGCAATACCATTTAGTTTTTTTGCCAGTTTTGCCAGTGGAAAATCAGATTAGTGTAATTAAGCCAGGTCTCCAAGAGTAGAGGCAATTATTTTTATTTATTTATTTTTTTTTTGAGACGGAGTTTCACTCTTGTTACCCAGGCTGGAGTGCAATGGTGCGATCTCGGCTCACCGCAACCTCCGCCTCCTGGGTTCAGGCAATTCTCCTGCCTCAACCTCCTGAGTAGCTAGGATTACAGGTACGTGCCACCATGCCCAGCTAATGTTTTGTATTTTTAGTAGAGATGGGGTTTCACCGTGTTGACCAGGATGGTCTCGATCTCTTT